ATTTCACAGTATTCCTATATTTTATTATATATATTTTTTTTATTTTTAATTACACATTTATCACATAATAACTTATTTTTCGTGAATTTACTTGAAGGTTTATACCTGTATTAAATAATTATAAAAACTATTTTTGATGTATGAGGCAATATAGGAGAGCTTATTCGCCCTTTTTGTATTTATAAAATTTTTTTTTGTATATGTACCTTCTGGAATTGTAATTAAAGAACTCAATAAATTTATGTAATTTTGTTGATATAAGAGAAGTGTATTAAAGTAGTGAAGCTTTTTGCTGCTATCACAAATTGCTATTAAAATGGTTTATTACACCCTATTATTTTCAATAAATTATGTGAAAAAATTTATTTATCTCTTCACCGTAACACTACAGCTACGGGTAAAAATTTGGTCGCTCATTAACTTAAAATCAAATTACTTATTCATCAAACTGAAAAATTTTTATTGCAAATTTAACAGTGATATTATTTTAATACACACTTTTCCAGAAAAATCCTTCAAAATTTAAATAAAGTAATAAGATGAACTCAAAAATTCATTCAATTATTCCTAATAATTATTCAAAAATAATTTTATAGCCTAAGGCTATCAATATAACAAGTTCACTTAAAATTTTTCAATTATTTCATAAATTGCAAATAAATTAACTTCAATTTTCTAAACTTTAGGGCATTAAACTTAAATTTTTGTTTACAAGTACAACTTTGAAATGTGAAAATAAATTCATAATGGCAAATTTTTTAAAAATGGCAAATTCTTTTCTTTATATAAAAGCAATGAAAAGCTCATTAACGCTCAATTATTAATTTTGTTCCCATGAATTCAGATTGCAAAAACTATCCATTATATGTGATGAAATATATTTTTATGTCATATATAAAACCTTTTTAAAATAATGTCTAGCTGGTTTGAGATGAAGAGAGTGTTATATAGAAAATTGGGTTAATTTTTTTTTTAATGAAATGTTATGAATAACATTTAAGATTTTAAAACCACATTTGATTTAAAAATTTACTTACATTTTTAATTTTTTTTACATTTACCTACAATTTTAAGGTTAAAAAATGGTTAAAAGTTAATTTACAGGTCAAGTGTATTCAAATCAGTTGTGACTAAATGAAATACTTGTTTGATTGAAATGTAGGAGAATGAAAGTAAATCTATTGCAGAAGGTAATAAGAAGGTGAAATGCAGTAAAATGTAGTAAAATAGTAAAATTAACATTAACATAAAAATGAATATATTTTTCAAATGCCAATTTCAAGTCAAATTTATCACGTTAGCGCTCATATAAATTACATGAGCAATACGTGAGTATTTTTTGTTTCTTTAAACTTAACACTGGATTTTCAAGTGAATGAGAGTTCATCGGCACACGCCACACTTTGTAATAAAATTTTTCAAAAAAATAATCTAATCAAGCCAGAAATTTTTTTCTCTCAGGAGATAAAAATATGTATGTTACCTACTAAATTTATATCATGATAGTAAATTTTTTTGTATGAAGTTTTGATTAGAAACATTTTCCAAAATCATATTCTCATTTTAGAATCAGAACAAAAAATAATTTTGAGTTACTAATACAATAATTATATTGTATGATTACAACATAATGTTGCATCAGAGCCGACGTTGAATTACTACTTAATAATTATTATTCTAAATAAAATGTAATAATATTGTCTCTCGTTAAAAGTACAGCAATAAATAAATTAATGATATTATTTATGATTATATGTAGTTGCGGTAAATTTGCATACAATCAAACACGCGCATATTAAATCAAAATTGAATCAATGAATTTTTTAATATAAATGAATTCTTTATACATAATTATTTAGCAACATGTTGCTAGTATAATTTTAATATGTTTTCAATATTCATTATGAGCACATAATTTTTTCTTTTTTGTGGGAATCCTGCTATTGATTACAGATTGGTGTTTTTATGAATATGAAATTATGTGAGTATGATATTGCATTGTAGTTGTAATTTATTGTTGTAAACATATTTTTCTTTTATGCTGAATGAATATTATTGTTATTATTATATTACTATTATGTAAAAGAAGAAAATTTATTTTAGTTCATTTTTACATTTCGGTTAGAATAAACCATATTCGCGGAATAAATATCTAATAAGGAAAAATTAATTTTTGGAAAATTTATTAATGTATGTATTTATAATATATAAATTATTAATGAATATTGTAAATTAGTTGATATAATATAAAAAATATTGTCGCGAATAATTTATGCACATATATAAGGTGTTAAATCTTGTTTGAAATTCTGAACAATATATCAACACAGGGTAAATTTGGTAACCAAAATTTAATGAATTGATATGGTTGCTCAGAATATTTGATGTTAAAAATGAAAAACAATACTTCTTGTTCTTCAACCTTTATTTAACTCCTCTTTATTTTCTACATATTAAGACTTATATACTAAATTTACAATCCAACGTATCCCTACTCCAATTTATTTTTAACTATTAGTTTTACGTTATTATAATTTTTATTTAAATTACAAAGAATATTTTATTTACAATATGAAACAATACAATTAAAAGTTGTATTACACACAGATATCTATTGAGCCCAAATATTTACACATAACCAAAATTGATAATTTTATGACGGTCGCAACAGATGAATCTATTTTTAAATCGTCCCTATTTTTATAATCTTTACACTTCGTAATGCATACTAAAAATTGTCATATCCTTATCATATTGTAGACATTATACAAATATATGATTGTAATATGTTACTAGTAAAGATTTCTCTCATAAACATAATTTATTATCTATTGTTCTTATCCCTTTTATTGTTAAGGTTTCTAAAAATACAAAATTAACTAAATAGTAACTTTCTAAACTTGACATGTGCATTGATAACTGGTTGTTGTTGTTGCGTCTTAAACATTCTCCCCCGCGTTGATTGCTTGCACATCAAACCTTAAGATCATTTGCTGTTACTGTTATTGCTTTAGATAATGGTTTAGTTTTATATTTTTTGACCACATATGTTGTAACGGTGATGATGCAGAACCCAATTGCCAAATAACTTATAATATATTGATGTATGTCGTGATTGGAAATTTCTTCGTAGTTGTTTTCTTGTTCCTTCAAGGTTCGTATATGTTGTTTGATTTTACCATACTCAAGAGAAAACGAATCGGTTATATTTAACAGATCAAAATGTGCTTGGCTGAACATAGCAGAGTCAATTTGGTGTTGTACTTGGGGTAGTACGTGTGGCTGCAGAAATGAATTGCTGAAGTTGCCTTCGATTATTTTAAACGTTTGAAGGATCTGCTCTTTGTCTTTTAACAAACAGTTTTGATTGAATGTTATTATACCATTGCCTTGCAATCTTATTTGGTATGCAGAATTATTGCAAACAATATTGTACAGATATTCGCTACTTAATGAGTACAACCATGAATTTTTTCTGATGATTTGAATCCATGTTCTACTTGGTTTTGTTATTTTGATTTTGCATCTATCCGCAATTGATTGTTGTGCTATTAAATTAAATTCACATTCGACTTCTTTTGCATCTTTGGTGAAAAATGGCCGGAGTTGATTACATAGATAATTTTCATTGTCATATGAAATACAATTATGCCATTCTGCTGTTGATAAGGTATATGCTAAATCTTTATGTAGATTTGTCATCAAAATTTCCTTGTCTGGTTCTATACTAACAAATGTGTTGTTTATTCTCGTTGGGAATGGCACAATTCTAAATATTTCCAATTCCAATGATCTTATTAAAGGAATGCTTAACGTGAATATGACAGAGCCGTTGTTTATTTTTGATTTGACTCTTGTTATTCCATACACCTGTGTTATAGTTGGTACCTGCAATTCTGCTGGAATGACCTTTTGTAATTCTTCTAAATATTCAACAAGTTGTTGAGGCTTTAATATCAGTGTGTTGAATCTTTCATGATGAACATCATGAATAATATTTAAAATAGTTAATTGAAGTTTTTCCAACTCGTCAATTACTAGAGTCATGTATTGACTCAACATTAAAAATACCTTTTGAAGCTTTTCATTTTGCTGGCTGGGTGTTAAGTGTTGTAATGTACGATTTACTTCATGTATTTCTTCATCAATAACCTTTAATTGTTGCAATCTTTCAGCCTGACTCTTTTTAAATAAATTAACTGTGGCCTCAATGATTGACGTTTGATTTTGAATAATATGAAAGGATTTTGTTTGTTTGTTCTCAAATTCTCGCATAATTTTTTCTATTTTTTCTGCGTATTCATCATCTAGAACTCCAAATAATTTATTTGCAATGTTGCCTACTATGTTGATTAGTCCTCGTTTGAAACGCTGCGGACTGACAGTGGTTGGGAACAAGAGTTGATTTCTTTCATGTAGTTCTTGAAGCTTATGTTTGAACCGATCTAATATTAACATTGATAGTTCTTTTTCATTCATTGTGTCTGCTATACTTGTCATTTGGTTTATACCTTCTATAATGGCCTTGTTATAATTCCAATAATCACTCATATTGTGGTATACTACTAAGTTCCAGTTAGTTGCAATAAGTTGTCCCTCTCCTAGTTTCTCGAAGTATACACCGCTATTGTTAAGTTGTGTAATTTGATAAGGTACTGAAGATCCAAATACTACTAATGGTAAGAATACTAATGCCAAGATCATAAATAATGTTGTATGTGATGAATATTTATTCCCTTTTTTCCATTTTGCCTTCGAATTCTCATCTGTTTTTTCTAATTTTCGTTTAGAACTCTCAGGTGATGTTAATTGAGTATCGGAACTCTCTATTGGTAACGGAGCTAAATTGTGAATTGCTCTTTTATATGTTCCGTGTGCTGTTTTTACAACAGCTACTCTTACCAAATTATCTTTACCCTTGATAACTTCTATAATTCTTGCTATTGGCCACTTCAACGGGGGTAAATTTTCTTCTTTCATAATTACAATTAATCCCGGTTTTATATTTTCTGTTGATGTTTTCCATTTATATCTTTGTTGTAGCTCTAGTAAATATTCGTTTGTCCATCTTTTCCAAAATTCTTGTCTAATAGCTGCAACTAGTTTCCATCTTGACAATGATGACAGATTTTGAGTAGATTTATTTGGTTCTTGAAGTGATGTCAATGGTTCACCTATTAGAAAGTGACCTGGGGTAAGTACTGATAAATCATTCGGATTTGACGAAAGTGGTGTCAGTGGTCTTGAGTTCAAAATGGCTTCTGCTTCAGCTGTTACTGTACATAGTTCCTCAAATGTTAGAGAAGCTGACACAAGAATACTTTTTAGCAGCGTTTTAACTGATTTAACTGCCGCTTCACACAATCCAGAAAAATGCGGTGATCTTGGTGGAGCAAAATGAAACTGTATCCCCTTAGCGCTACAGTTATTATATATTGTGGTTTTTTCTTTTTCTGATTTAAATATTTCATATAATTCATTCAATTTATTTTTTGCTCCAACAAAATTGGTAGCGTTGTCGCAATAAATATTTTTGCATAGTCCTCTTCTCGAAATAAACCTTTTTAATGCTCCAATAAACCCATCAGTTGTTAGGTCTGATACTACTTCCATGTGTATAGCCTTTGTACTAAAACAACAAAATACAGCTATATAAGTTTTTTGGGGCTTTTTACCTCGTACGTGAAAATGAGTTAATATAGGCCCACAAAAATCGACGCCTGTATTACAAAATGCTCTTTCTGGCAAAACTCGAGCTTCTGGTAAATCTCCCATTAATTGCGTATACATTTGAGGTTTGGCTCTTGCACATAATACACATTGACTAACAACAATTCTAGACAATTGTCTGCCTTGTAAAATCCAATATCTCTGTCTAGAAATGGCTAATAATGCCAACGGTCCGGCATGCAAATGTTGAATGTGTAAGTGATTCATAAGTAATTTTGACACAATGTCTGTACCTGGAAGCACAATAGGATGTTTTGCATATTCGTTAACTGCAGCGTTGTTTAATCTTCCCCCTACTCGTATGATGTCATCGCAATCGATAAATGGTGTTAGTGAAGACAATCGACTATGTGGTCTTACTAATGTTTTATTTTTCAAATCTTTGAGTTCTTCTTGAAAATGATTTCTTTGAACTCCTCTAATTATTTCTAATAAGGCTTCATTTAACTCATCTGTTGTGAGCCATTTATTATCATTCTTATGTGTCCCATTCTTAAATGTATTTATTGCTCGTAAGATGTATGCCATAGTTCTTTGAAGAAATTTAAAGCAGTTATGATGGTCAATTAAATGAAGTGGGTGTTGTTCTTGTTTTTGAACAGCTTGATTTATTAGAACTGTCACCTGTCTTTCTTCTTCCATATGTTTCAATTCTGCATATTCCCTCATGAACTGAATGTATTCATTTCTTAGGTTCACATTTTTTGACAGTTTGCCTTCCAAGTTTAAAAATCTTCGCATTGCTATATTTTTTGAATTTCCTAATAAGCTATCTGAACTAGTTATTGGTAGACTTACAACAAAGTGTCCTGATTCTTCTCTATACACAGTGTTTTTGAAATATTCTTCACATCTTTTCTCTGATGCATTCATGATTCTCTTTTCTGGAATTTTCTCAATTTCCCAAAACTTATTTAATTGTTCATTTAGTTGAATGTTGGTTATTCCAACAAAATTATTGGTTTGATTCTGTTGTGTCACTTTACCAAGAATCATCCAGCCGAATACTGTTTTTTGTAATATCGGTAAATTTGCTCCCAGTTTTAATTGGCCCCCGTTCACACATTCTGCATACATCTCAACGCCGAGTAGCATATCCACTTTCTGCGGACTATTAAATTGTGGATCAGCTAACTTTATTGACGCTGGTATTGGCCACTGTGATATGTCAATATATTTTTGCGGTTGACAAGTAGTTATTGATCTTATCACATTAGCCTCAATGCTCGTATCAAACATACTTGTTTTTGACATAATTTTCACATTCAGTCGACTTCTAGATTGAACTTGACAGTTTCCTACACCATGAATGTCCAAACTTTCCCCTATTGCATCCAAACCTAATTTTTTCTGAAGACGTTCCGTGATGAGGTTTACCTGTGAACCAGAGTCTAATAATACTCGACATTCGACTGGATTGTTTGCCTTATCAAGTACTTGAACTATTGCCGTTCCCAAAATTACATATTTTTCAGGTTCAACCTCTGACATTGATATATTTACTGTCGCTTGTTGTTTTGTAGTGGAACCTTGACTAACTTCTTTTTTGTATAGATCATGAATCAATGTGTTGTGCTTTTGCTGACATTTTCTACAGTTACTCAAAACACATTTTTTCCAAAAGTGGCCTTTCTTAAAGCAATTTGTGCATAAATTATGCTTCCTTACACATAAGCCTTTTTCTTGGGGCGTCATTTCTAAAAACTTTGAACAGTTAAATAATGAATGTTTCTCTTTACATACTAAACATTCACTGTTACTATTCAAAATTACTCCTGTTGTTACGTAAGCCGTTTTCTTGAGTTTTGTTGACTTGTCTCTACTATCACCTATAGCTTCTAGCGCTTGAAATCTTGCTTGGATAAACGTGAGAAACTCTTGTAGACTCTGTAGGTCCTTGGTACATTGTAAAGATTGCTCATATAGCACATGAGTGTCTTTGTCAAGTTTCTTCATTAAAATATGTAATAGAATTGGATCCCAATTATTGTAAACTTCCAATTCTAAATTTTCTAACATCATAATACATTCTTGTGTTGTGTTAAATAGTCCTTTAATTGATTTACTTGACCCAGGTACAATACTTGGTTGTCCTATTAACTTATCCAAAATGTTTGTTACTAGTAACCTTGTATTATTGTATCTCTCTTCTAATAACTTCCAAGCTACAGAATAATTTGCATCTGTTATTGTAAGATGTCTTATATACCTCTCTGCTTCTCCCGTTAAATTCATTTTTAAATACCACATTTTCTCTGTATTTTTTAGTGATTTTTGTCCATCTATCATCTGACAAAACATATCTTTAAATTGTATCCATTTGCAGTAATCACCATCAAACTTCGGAATATCGATACTTGGAAGTTTGATGCTAGGTGTCACCTCTTTGCTTACTTGACTTACTGAATCTTGAGGTTGTAATTTGACGTTTTTTTGTAAACTTATTATCATGTCTTGCACTTCTTCTTCCAATTCAAGTACTTTTACAACGTCATATCCAGCTTGTTCTGGATTTCTTATCATTCCAGCAATTTCGATATCGTCATTTTTTATTTCTTGCCATAAATTTTTTATTTCGTCTAATTTGTTCTTGTAATAGTTATCGTGCTGATTCTGAATTACAATTTTTTGTAACATGTAATTCAATCGCTGCTGTTTTCGTTGACAAATCCAGATTAATTTTTGTAATTCTGGATTCTCAATAACATGCTCTGGTTTTTGCATAACATCTTTGATTTCTAGAACACCTGCTTTGTTTAGGTTTAAGTCTTGCAATTTCTGATCAAATTCAGTCTTGATTTTTTTGTAATATTCTTGTACATTTTTATAACACTCTTCTGTGAAATATAAATGTCCTCTTTCTTTTTCGAACTTGGCTCTGATGTCATCATCACCTTTTTCAAACAATGCCCATAGATGCTCTACTTTTTCCAATTTGTCTTGGATTAACTTTTCGGTCTTCCTTTCTTCGGGTAGCTTCGTATATTGACCGTACACTTCCTTCAATTGCTTGATAATTTTACTTTGACTTGCAGCTGCTGACTCCATTTTACTTCTCGTGACTAGTCGTGATTACTTCTTTTGTTATAATTACTTGATGCTGATCTGACTTCTTAAATACACGATGCTTGTCGTGTTGTATTAACGTTGACCAGATCACGTCGGGGTCACCAAAATGTTAAATCTTGTTTGAAATTCTGAACAATATATCAACACAGGGTAAATTTGGTAACCAAAATTTAATGAATTGATATGGTTGCTCAGAATATTTGATGTTAAAAATGAAAAACAATACTTCTTGTTCTTCAACCTTTATTTAACTCCTCTTTATTTTCTACATATTAAGACTTATATACTAAATTTACAATCCAACGTATCCCTACTCCAATTTATTTTTAACTATTAGTTTTACGTTATTATAATTTTTATTTAAATTACAAAGAATATTTTATTTACAATATGAAACAATACAATTAAAAGTTGTATTACACACAGATATCTATTGAGCCCAAATATTTACACATAACCAAAATTGATAATTTTATGACGGTCGCAACAGATGAATCTATTTTTAAATCGTCCCTATTTTTATAATCTTTACACTTCGTAATGCATACTAAAAATTGTCATATCCTTATCATATTGTAGACATTATACAAATATATGATTGTAATATGTTACTAGTAAAGATTTCTCTCATAAACATAATTTATTATCTATTGTTCTTATCCCTTTTATTGTTAAGGTTTCTAAAAATACAAAATTAACTAAATAGTAACTTTCTAAACTTGACATGTGCATTGATAACTGGTTGTTGTTGTTGCGTCTTAAACATAAGGAATATTTATTTTAAATAAAAATTTTCAAAAGGATTATTTATACAGTTTTTATTCGTACGTAAGTAATAATTAAAATATTGGATTAAATATATTATAAAATACTAAAATAGAAAGCTTGGTTAATTTATAATGAGATTCTAATGGTGAAATTTTATTCAGAAAATATAGAGTTTATGAAAAATTTTATTTTAATAAAGTATACTTAATAATGAAAATTTTAATTGAACTATATTTAAGTTTTTGATTTAAATGGGACTCTACTTAAGGAATAAGAGAGTTGAAAATATTATTTGAAGAGACACAATAATTAAAAATTTTTGTATTGCATTGAATTAAATTTAATGAATTTGGCTAGCTATATTTTTAATAAAAATAATTAAAAAAGAGAAAAAAAATAGAGTTGACCTTGTCAACTCTGTGATACCCGTACGAATTTGTTATCCTATGTGCGAATAACTAATGTGCCATAACTAACTATGGGGCAGACTATGTCTTTAAGTTGCCGTATTAACATATTAATTTATGCAAAATTTCAGTACTATGTGTTATTCAAAATACTGGTTGTGCCAAACTACTATTGATGTTGTATGGCAGCTACCAGAACATCGGCCCTACTAATATATTCACTTGTGTGAAATCTCAATATCACAGCTTTTTTAGTTTCTGAGATATAGTCAAAAAACTTTTGAAGTTGTATGGCAGGTACTAGAAGGAGCCAAGTAATTTCAACGACTTTTATGTGACACATTGGCCCTACTAATATATTCGTTTGTGTGAAATTTCAATACCATAGCTTTAATAGTTTCTGAAATATAGCCAAATAATTTTTGAAGTTGTATGGCAGGTACCAGAAGTAGCCAAGTAATTTCAACGACTTTTATGTGGCATATTGGCCCTACTAATATATTCGTTTGTGTGAAATTTCAATACCATAACTTTAATAGTTTCTGAAATATAGCCAAATAATTTTTGAAGTTGTATGGCAGGTACCAGAAGGAGCCAAGTAATTTCAACGACTTTTATGTGGCATATTGGCCCTACTAATATATTCGTTTATGTGAAATTTCAATACTATAACTTTTATAGTTTCTGAGATATAGCCAAATAAATTTTGAAGTTGTATGGCAGCTACCCGAACCGGTACCCCGATCATGTCCAATTTAAATAGGGTTCTGGCACTTACTACAATAAATCATTTGTGAAAATTTGGTGAACTTAGCTCAATTAGTTTTTGAGTTATCGTTCGGACGGACGGACGGACGGACGGACGGACAGACAAAGCTAAATCAACTCAGAATTTGACGCTGATCAAAAACATACACTTGAGTCTATATCTAACACCGTTATTTCTTAGCGTTACAAACGGTAAGGCAAATTTAGTATACCCTTCGAACATACGTTCGTACGGGTATAAAAATTACATGACTGCAATATTTGTAGTTTAAAAATATTTATATTTATAATTTGTGAAAAATTTCTAAGCATAGATACAAGCAATTCATTTTCTAACATCTTAGAATCTTCGTGAGCCTGTGCATAATTTATATTTTCAAATAATTTTAGCGTTTTTAGTCAATTCGAAAACAGTGACCTAAATTCTCCTAAGACTTATTAAAAAATTTTATTTTTGATTGTTAGAATTTAAAAGTTATAGTTGTTTATATTCCGAATTGTAATTTAAATTTCCTTTTACTGAAAACTTCAATATATGAATTTAAGTATCTCACTAAAATTTTTAATTAATCCAACCAGAAAATTTGAAACTTAGTACTTAATTTTTTTTTCAATTGAACTTCAATGACATCAATGTTTACTGTAATTATTAGTTCTTTTCTTTAAATCATACAATACAATGTTTATGCAAATTGTTCCATTTTCCATTCTAATGCAATTTGTCCATTCTAATGGTTTTGAATTTATCATACCATCAATTAACTTTAAGTTTCAATTTTAGAATTTAGAATTTTTGCTGAAATTTTTATTTTAAATAATTTTCTACTGCTTTACTGCATAAATTTTATAATTACTGCATAATTATTTAAATTTTATTAAATGTAATTTAATTACCAAAGCGATAACATTTATTTTCATAATTTTATTAAGATTCCTGATTAAGCAGATTTTTTTTCGGTTACTCTCAGTAAATTTGATTTGCATGTTCATTTATTAAAAAACTAAGGTTTTGAGAGCCTTTAAAGCAGTTATTTGAAATTATTCTCAAAAAGTATGGATTCATGAGAATTATTCGAAAGCATAAAATAAAACGACACATAGATAATATTTTCACACAAGTTTGAATGCCATTCGAACGTGTTGCATTTAATCAATTCACTATGAGAAGAAAATCACTATTAGAATTCTTGTGAAATTACTCTTGCAATTTTCTTTACCGTTTCTTATTTGACAAAATGGACGATATTGTTTTAATGAACTTCTAGCAGTAAAGAGCCCCAAATTATATCTATTAGTATTAATGTCATAAAATGTGATTTAAAAACATAATAAAGTAGAAATTTTTTTTACATTACTCGTAAAACCGCAACGAAAATTATTTTAAACGTCTTGTGTCTTATTTTAATAATATCAGATTATACGGAAAACTTTTGCCCACAAAAGTATTTTTTGTTCGATGAGCGATGTAACCTATGCGTTTTGCAAGAACAAAAGCAGGGTTGTATTATTGTTATATGCATTATTATAATAAAATTTGACTATTATACTTATTATAGTGTTAAAATTTTATTAAGATTATTTCAAGATAATCGAAAATCAGTAGCGAGATTGTGTTGATTACATAGAAAATAAATTAAAAATCGTTTTTTGATTATTTCATCTTAAATAAATAAAAGTTGAAAATAGTTTAATACTATTTAATCTCTCCATAAAATTTACTTCATTATATGAAATAATTCCAAGGATTTTTATTGAACAACACTTATGTTTTATAATAATCAAGTTTTTTTTTTCAAATTCAACAATTTTTTTGTTTTCAACCCAAATCAAAGTATAAAGTAATCAAAAAAAGAAAAAAAAATTATTTTCTCAAATTAAATTATATATTGAAGTAAACGGTGGACATTTTGACCAAAATAAATCACTTTTTTTCCTTTTTCCAAGCCAAAAAAAAAAACAGCAAAAAATTCACGACTGGACACACGTTATACTCGTACGCATAACCACATATTTTAACCATTGAATAAATATTATGTGGCTGGTAAACATTGCGTCATTTTTGTTTTTTTTTTACTGTTCGAAAAAAAAAAAACGAAAATTTACACCGAAAAGTAACATAAGCCGTAACAAGCGTGTCCAGCATATTTCTTTTTTTTTTTTGTAATTCTTTGATTTGCAAGCAAATTTTGCTTTAATTCGGTACAATACCTTTCAAGTGAGATATACACTCTTAATGAAAATGGTGCCAGAGGATTTTTACCTGTTGTTTTAATATTATGCTATTATTTTTATATGAAAATAATTTTCTTATAATGTACAATATTGATTTTATTTAATTTTATATAAATTTAAAATTGATCGTGTTGGAGGCGATACTGATTATCTGAATGAAATCTGATGTGATCTTAAAAAATAATAATAAAAATTGGAAAAAATTACGATGAAATTAAAATAATGATTTTAATGATTTTTCAACATTTAACAGCACGAATTGATTTTGATTTACCACCAGATCAAATATGGTTTATTGATTGTTAAAAATTGAAAAATATTTTGTTCGATTTTCGCATATGAGCGGCGATTATAATTGCAATTTTTTTTTTCTTGTTTTATGAAAGGCAGATTTACTTGATAAATAATCAATCAAAATTAACCTATTTATAAATAAGATCGGATTAAAAATTGAGTGGAGCGGATTTTTCAAAAAAAAACCTCATGAAATGTTTTTCTTCAAAACAACAAAACTTCTTCTAATTTCTTAAATCGGTTTTTTTCTGCATTCATTAAAGCATGATACAATATCCAAGAGTAATTGTCTTGTCCGGGGATTTAGTAGTTTGCACAATTACCTGTCTTTATGTACCCACCAAGTTATTATATTCAAGTTATATCAATAATAACAGTTTGGGTTTCTTTCTTTAAGGGCTCTTGCAGGTATACCATTTTTAGTTTTCAAACTGTTTGATTGCTTATTTGTATTTGTAGCAATTGTATGATCGCATGTAATTAAGCAATCAAACAGCTTGTAATTTTTTAACAAATTAATTGCAATATTTAGTAGTTGTAATCGATTTGTACTGAGACAATAATTTAGATTTCTTTCCTTTATGATAAAATCATTCAAATATATTTTATTATCAGTTTTCTATTTGTATTGCCCTATCAAAAATTCGATTCAAAAACTTTTATTTAGGTAGGACTTTGATTACCAGAGAAAGGAATGACGTTCCATTTTTTTCAAAAAAAAATTCATTGACATTTTGCCTGATTGGAATCAATCAAAACCAATACGAATAATGAATTATGGTGTTAAATTTTATTATTACTGTTGTTGTAGCTCATTTCATACCCATTAAAAGTAATTTAAATGAATTTCTAAAAGCAACTGTTCTATTCATAATATATGCACATTACAAAATTTTCCTTATTATAATTCGATTGTTTGTAATTAAAATATTAAAATAAAATCTAATTCAATTTTGCCATATAACCTGTAATTGTAAGAATTGCCATATAACATGTAAAAGTATATAATCTAATTCATTTCAAAACAAGAACATTATAGAACATGAAATTGAAATCAGCAACTTCACCAAAAAAAAACTCTTATGCACACATATATGTAGGCTTATGTAAATTACAATTTGATTTGCAATGTAATTATTTTATTTTACTTTAACATTTTACATGTGGAAGAACATTTTTTTGTAATTTAATTTGCATTCAATTGCATTGTAAACCAACATTATTGTTTCAAATAATTTGAATAGCATGTACGCCTCTCTCGTGATTATTCAATTTAACCATAGAAGTCTAAAATATAGTCTCTGTGATTCGTTTCTAAATAAAGTTCAATGAAATCATGCAGATGATAAAATTTT